GCAATCCTTTACACCAACAATAGACAAGCAGAGAGCCAAATTGTGAATAAACTCCCATTCACAGTTGCTACAAAGAGAATAAAATACCTAGGAATACAGCTAGCAAGGGATGTGAAGAACCTCTTCAAGGAGAACTAGAAACCACTGCTCAAGGAAATAAGAGAGGACACAAACAAATCCTTCCTCGTGGATAGGAAGAATCAATATTGTGAAAATGGCCATACTGCCCAAATTAATTTATAGAGTCAATGCTATTCCAATCCAACTACCATTGACATTCTTCACAGAATTAGAAAAAACTATTTTAAATTTCATATGGAATCAAAGAAGAACCCATATAGCCAAGACAATCCTAAGCAAAAAGAACAAAGCTAGAGGCATCATGCTACCTGACTTTAAATGTACTACAAGGTTACAGTAACCAAAACAGCATGGTACTGGTACCAAAACAGACATATAGACCAATGGAGCAGAACAGAGGCCTCAGAAACATACACATCTACAACCATCTGATCTTCGACAAACCTGAAAAAACAAGCAATGGGAAAATTATCTCCTATTCAGTAAATGGTGTTGGGAAAACTGGCTGGCCATATGCAGAAAGCTGAAACTGGACCCCTTCCTTATACCTTATACAGGAATTAACTCAAGACAGATTCGACTTAAATGTAAAATTTCAAACCATAAAAACCCTAGAAGAAAACCCAGGCAATACCATTCCTAGGATATAGGCATGGGCAAAGACTTCATGACAAAAATGCCAAAAGCTATTGCAGCAAAAGCCAAAATTGACAAATGGGATCTAATTAAACTTAAAGAGCTTCTGCACAGCAAAAGAAACCAGAATCAGAGTTAACAGGCAACCTACAGAATGGGAGAAAATTTTTGCAATCTACCCATCTGACAAAGGTCTAATATCCAGAATTTACAAGGAACTTAAACATATTTACAAGGAAAAAACCCATAAAAAGTGGGCAAAGGATATGAACAGACACTTCTAAAAAGAAGACATTTATGTGGCCAACAAACACGAAAAAAAGTTGAACATTGCTAATCACCAGAGAAACGCATATCAAAACTGCAATGAGATCCCACCTCATGCCAGTGAGAATGGCGATTAAAAAGTCAGGAAACAATAGATGCTGGCAAGGCTGTGGAGAAATAAGAACACTTTACACTGTTGGTGGGAATGTAAATTAGTTCAACCATTGAGGTAGACAGTATGGCAATTCCTTAAGGATCTGGAACCAGAAATACCATTTGACCCAGCAGTCCCATTACTAGGTATATACCCAAAGGAATATAAATCATCCTACTCTAAAGAGACATGTACACGTATGTTTATTGCAGCACTGTTTATAGTAACAAAGACATGGAACTAACCCAAATGGCCATCAGTGATAGACTGGACAAAGAAGTATAGTATTCCATATGGAATACTCTGCAGTCATAAAAAGGAATGAGATCTGTTCTTTGCAGGGACATGGATGAAGCTGGAAGCCATCATCCTCAGCAAACTAACACAGGTACAGAAAACCAAACGCCTCATGTTCTCACTCATAAGTGGGAGTTGAACATTGAGAACACATGAACGCAGAGAGGGGAACACCACACACCAGGGCCTTTTGGAGGTTGTGGAGTAAGGGAAAGGAACTTAGAGGACAGGTCATACAGCAAACCACCATAGCACATGTATACTGATGTCACAAACCTGCACATTCTGCACATATATCCCGTTTTGTTTGTTTGTTTGTTTTTTCTAGAAGAAAAAAAATATTATGCATACACATGATGTGGCCATTTTGCTGGCAGCATTATGATTAGTTCAAAAGTAGAAATTAAATGTCATGGAGTTTTGCAAGAAGGAGTATGATGTTTAGCTGTCTTACCTTCCAAACAGCTTAATATTCCCTACATTTTAATTCCTAGTGGGGACCAAGGAAACTGTTGTGATCTAGTGATTGGAAATGACAGTTGAAGTGACCCTGATGCAAACGTTCACTCAATGAATTAATTGAGTTCAATGCTAGGTGAAAAAAAAATGCATTATCTCCTTTGAAAAACAAATATCTGTCCTTTTTTATTCTTTTTTCATGGCTGCTAGGAAATTCAGTGCTAAGTTTAATGCTCAATTACCCTTTCATTCCTTGGTTCTTTATTTTCTACCAATTTGTTTTTAGTTTCTTTACAAATCAACTTTATTGAGGTACAATTTACATACAATAAAATACAAAATGTACCCATTTCAAGTTTTGACAAATGCATACACCTGTGTAATCACCATTTCAGTCAAGATTATAGAACATTTCCATCCCACCAAAACATCCTCTCATGCCTCTTTCTAGCTGTTGTTACGTAGTTTCGTTGATTCTGTGTCCTTTAATGTTAGCCATCAACCTGCTACAGATACTTTTGGAAATAGGTGGAGTATTAAAAAGACTATTATCTTGGCTGGGCGTGGTGACTCATGCCTGTAATCACAGCACTTTGGGAGGCCAGGGTGGGCAGATTGCTTGAGACCAGCATGGGCAACATGAGCAAGACCATGTCTCTACAAAACAATAAAAAAAAGTAATCAGACATGGTGGTGCACACCTGCAGTCCTGGCTACTGGGGAGGCTGAGGCAGGAGGATCACTTGAGCCCAGGAATTCAGTTACAGTGAGCTATGATTATGCCACTGCACTCTAGCCTAGGTGACAGAGAAAGACCCTGTCTCTAAAAAAAAGAGTGATATAGTTTGGCTGTGTCGCCACCCAAATCTCATCTTGAATTGTAGCTCCCATAATTCCCACATTGTGGGAAGGACCTAGTGGGAGGTAATTGAATCATGGGAGCTGGTCTTTCCCATGCTGTTGTGATAGTGAATCTCACAAGATCTGATGGTTTTACAAAGGGCAGTTCCCCTGCACACACTCTCTTGTCTGCTGCCGTGTAAGACATAACTTTACTCCTCATTTGCCTTACGCCATGATTGTGAGGCCTCCCCAGGCAGGTGGAACTGTGAGTCCATTAAACCTCTTTCTTTTATAAATTACCCAGTCTTGGATATGTCTTTGTTAGCAGCGTGCAAACAGTCTAATACAGAGAATAACCCCTTAAATGAAATTGCCTTTTCAGACTTTACATTTTTTCCTGTAATTTGCCATTTAATTTCCTTTTTTAAATCCAAGAAACCAGCATTGCAATTTCTTAGTAGTTAAATCTCATTACAACTATCATTGACGAGCTGGTGTCTTATGAAGCACTGCCAGATATCCTTGGAAGACCATGTTCCTTTTTTCCCCCTGAGAAGTTAAATTATCTAATTCAAAGGATTTTTTAACCTGGACAAATTTGTTCTTGAACAGATTTGTCCATACCTAACTGGTCAGCATCTTTACCAGAACATGAAATATGTAACAAGCACCAATTGCCTTGTTGTAGCATGTTAGAAAGCCAGTTAGGAATTCAGCAACTCATGGCCTATCAAAACCTGTAGCTGCTTTTTGAAATGTAAGAGCTGTGACCTGTGTATAGATATCGTAACAGTGTCTTAAAGTGACAACAAGAAGTTTAACCAACTGGGTTGTGTATGGGGACAGCTTGGGCTCTAGGTAGTTGTGTGAGGTAACTGGAGAGACAGGAATAATGATCAACTTATGCACGAGCAGTTCTAGTATATGACTTATGTCAGACAACATCAGCATGAGTTGTGGATGGTTTATGCTTCTTCCCCAGGATAATAAAAAAATAGCAAGAGGTAATACAAGGTTTATCCCGGTTTTCTTGCCAATCAAAGGAATTATAGTTGTCATTATTTTTACCATTCTGGAATTATGTGGATATAACAATTGAATTTTAAATGAAAATACAAGCTGAAATATATAACCTGCAGATGTGCTTTAATGTTTCTTCATAATGTGATAGAGCTGTTTTTAAGAATAGAATCAGAGTAGCGTGACCGAAAGGGGCAGACATTATAACCGCTTGACATTTTCTTGGAGGTGTTTCTTATGTGAGTAGTGTGAAAAGGGATGTCATTGAACCAGGTATGTTTACAAAGCACAGAAAGTCTGTGCAGATTGCTTGATGTACTATGTGGCAGTATTACAGCCATGTAACAGTGATGTGCCCTAAAATGCTTGGTATTTCCATACACTGGGCTGAGTGTGGGAATGCAGGGGATATTCATTTGTTTGCTTTGGTTTTTATTTTTGCAGGCTGAAATTCATTAGATAAGAAAACTAACTCAGGTTTTCCCATTTATGTGTACTATAAACACATATTTGGACTATTGAAGTCTAGGGACAACCCAGAGAGCTTAATAAATGGTCTTACTAAAGATCGTGTAGATTCTTGCTTGGTGACTATAGTTTGTTCTTCCATACGGTCCCAGTTACCCTGGGTCAGGTGGAGGGTGGTTAGGATGTGTGACGTTCCACTGAATTTGATGCATTTTCATTTAATTTTTTTTTTTTTTTTTGAGATGGAGTCTCGTTCTATTGCCCAGGTTGGAGTGCAGTGGCGGAATCTTGGCTCACTGGAAGCTCACCTCTTGGGTTCACACCATTCTCCTGCCTCAGCCTCCTGAGTAGCTGGGACTACAGGTGCCCACTACCACACCTGGCTAATTTTTTGTATTTTTAGTAGAGACGGAACTTCACCGTGTTAGCCAGGATGGTCTCAATCTCCTGACCTCGTGTTCCACCTGCCTTGGCCTCCCAAAGTGCTGGGATTACAGGCGTGAGCCATCGCGCCCGGCCCATTTTCATTTTATTTAAGGAAAGGATAGTGTGTACAGTCTGCCACAGTGGGTAAACCTTTAAAAGAATCTTTGGCTCTTTTCCTGAACATAATTAAATTTCCATTATCTTTTTCTTTGCCAGAAGTTTAATGATTTATATTTAATAATTGAGTTGTAATTTATTCCCCACTTTTGCTCCCACTCGATGAAGGAAGCAAAATCTAATGTAACAAATACTTTCTGACTAAATTTTTCCTTCTCTAACTTTCTTTTAGGACTCAGCCCAAAACCATGTTTGCCCAAGTTGAATCTGATGATGAGGAAGCAAAGAATGAGCCAGAATGGAAAAAACGTAAAATTTGAAGAATCTCATTTGAAAGCTGTTTGCATGAGTGGGAGGGATATGGGACAGGTTTGAGGTTTTTTTTTTTTTTTATGCTCTTGAAATTAAAAATTCATTTTTATGAATAGGTTTTGTCCTTTGCATTATTGAACTGGTCAAAAGTTTGGTAGCTAGGCTTCACTAAAATTGTGCTTAAATTTTCTTACCTGCAACTATTAAACTGATTACAGATAAACAAGAAACAGATTCTTAGTCTATTACCAAGTACTTTAGGTATTTGGAAACTTCATTCAACAATTATTGGTCTTGTCCAGATTCTCATATCCAGAGAGAGGAAAATGTACATTGAGATGTGCATCTGTCTTTAGCAATTCTAGAATCATAATATAGAAATAGAGATCAAAAAGTTTAATGTTTCTGTATAATTTCACAACAGTTGTTTACATGACTGTAAAAAGTTAGGCTGAGTTCAAACCAAATGCATTGCCGTACTAGGAAAGAATATGTATCTCATTATCCTTCAACAGCAGAATACAGTGGTCAGGAGTTAGGAGTGGGCTTTGAAGTCAGACTCATGTGGATTCAAGTCCTGGCTTTGCTCTTTACTTCTGGGTCATCTTAAGAGAGTTATTTACTTTTCTAGCCTCAGATGATGAAATAGTACCTACTTTGCAGGTTTGTCAGAAGAACTAAATGGGACATGCCTCACAGAGCATTTAGTACAGTACCTGGTACACAATAAATGTACATAAAATATTCGTTTTTTTAAAATAGGGCTAATATTTACTTTGCTTGATTTTTATCAGTACTAAATTAGAAAGGTGTAGAAATGTTTTGTAAATTTAAAGACTATATAAATAGAAGACATTAAAAATTCTAAAAAATCATTGTGCTTTTGTGACTAAAAAGCTACAACAAAAGTTGGCAGTTTGTCCAAAATAATAATGCATCAATAGAATAAAATTCTGTGCATTGGTTTCACACAGACATTGGGTAGTTTTTGCATGTTAGTCACCTCTAGACAGGTTTTTTAGGACTTGCCTTCTCCCCTCCTGCTCTCATCTGTTCTAGTGAATTCAATAATTATAAAAATGCATGATGACCCCAAAAGTATATCAGAAAACTCCTGGTTTTACAGGCTTCATGTACCCACACGTGCTTCCCAAAAAATACTTTAAAACCACTTGTACTCACACAGCTCCCTTGTCTCTGCAGATTCTGAGGTGGCAGTGGGCGTTGTTTTATAGATAAATCCTTAAAAACTTCATTCTCATACACTTTCTGGGTCCTTCCTTCCTACCCCCATCCTCATCCTGTTCCCCTTCTCTTGTGACTCAGCTTATAGGTAATAGGTAAAAAGAAAAGAACTAACATCTACTGAGTGTCTGCTATATAATGAGTACTATCCCAAGCCCTTTACTTGTGTTAGCTGATTTAATCCTCACAAAAACCCTATGAGTAGGTAAAATTGTTAAACCCATTTTCCAGATGAGGCAAAAGAGATTGAACATGTCAAATCATGTGTCTGAGGTCACAGCCAGGGAGGACCACATGACAGCACCCAAGATCTCTAAACATCAGTGATTAACAAATGGTCCCAAGTTTTCTATTCCTTTTGAAAAACACTTCATTCAAAATCAATTACAGACCAATATTTTGTTCCAGCTGCTTAGAAAGTATAAATTTATTACTTCTTGGATAAAATTTACTGAAAGCATCTCACATTTTCCCCCATCTTAACATAAACGTTGCACCATATGGAAGTATTCGTCTTGTACAGCCAAAAGTTGCAGTGGAGGGTTGGGGGAGGAATAAAAACTTGATCATAGTGGTCTTGGCGGAGTCAGCTATGATGTAAGGGGAGAGAAAGGCAAATTTCGCACGAAGATGATTTTCTCATCATTACCCACAACACAAGTGGGCCTTTTCATGTTTGAGAGGATCTGTTTCACTCTAGAGTTTTATAAATAATTATTTTTTTCACGGAAGATTGGCAGCATGCACATACGGACTTCAATTTCAAATTCGGTAAGGGAGGAGCTTAGAACCAGGACTGGACAAATAGTGTATGTTCATTTGACCTGCAATCCTGTCACCAGAATGGGCATCAACAGCTGTTTATCTTACAGGCCCTCACACTCCCCATGTCCCTCAGGCCTCGTTATCTTCCCCCATACAACCTTGTATTTGGTCACCTTCGTTTCTAGTTGCTCAAAGAAGGAACTGGCAGTCATCCTAATAACTCTTCCCTCACTTCCTACTCCTGCCCATTTAATTATTTACCAATTTCTTCGCATACTGTCTTCTGAATCTCTCATATTTGCCCTTCCTCTCTTTCCCTACCACCCCTTTAGAATTTAGACCCTCTTTTAACCTTCACCAGCACCACTCAGGAGCCTCCTACCCAACTGATCTTCCTGTTTTTCATTAGGTCTTCATCTAACCCATCTTTCATTTTGTCATCAGAGTTGGTCTTCTAACGTCAAAATCTGTCATTTCATTCTTTTGCCTAGAGCCTTCCAGAGGCTCTATGTCAATAGTTCTCATTCATTTATGTGGCAGTTGAGGACATCCAGGATTTGGCCTTTCCCTGTCTTTCATGCTCTAACTCCTGCTGATCTGGCACATGCTTCTGAGGCCCAGCCACACTGAACCCAGAAGCTACTATGTTCTTTGGCACGTGAATGGCTTTGCACATGTTGTCCCTTCTTCCATCCTTGTCTGCTTGGAAAATTCCTATTTGATTTTGGAAATAGGAATAAATTTCACCTTCCCAAGCAGACAGTTTGTGATTCGATAGTTACTTACGTATCTCTCAATTATAGCCTCCTTTTATGTTGCATTATGATTGTATATGCACAAATGACTTGTGGGCCAGTAGTGTGTGCCCATGCATGTACATGCATGTTTCCTCACTACGATGTAGATTGTAAAAACTGAAGAGCATTGGGTTCAGTAAATATTCAGTAAGTTTGTTTAATAAATTAGAGGAGCCATGTTCTATTCACATTTGTATACCTAGACCCTAGCCCCGAGAAAGGGTTTAAAAAGAGGCTTATTCAGTCTTTGGCAGAGGGAGGGAATGAAACAGGCAAGGATGAAGAAGGAATGGGAAAAGAATGAGGTGTGAGAAGTGCTGCCTCGCAGATGGAAAGGAGGATCATTAGTACTGAAGGTTGGTCTGCATCCAGGCTGCATTACCTCTTCTCTGTGGGGATTTATTCACAGCTAACTGTGATGGCTCAAGGAGGAAGCAGGATTATCTGTGCTATTCCTGGCAGGGCATAGCAAGTTCTAAGCCACTATGACATCCTCAGGTACTTGCCTCCTGTCCCGTTGGACTTGATACTGGGAAGGTCATATGACCCTGAGTTACCAAAGATCTGAGCGATCTCTAGCATGGGGATTCTTAAGCTAGGCAGGGTGTCTGTGAACTCCCTCAAATTTTATGCAGAATGCTTTGCTTATACTCGTACATTTTTCTGTGGAGAGAATCCATAAATTAGACTCAATTTGAGGATATTGGGTACAGCAAGAGGGGAAAACGTAAAGATAAGAGTCTTACGATAGTAGAGAAATATTGATCTGTGATCTTGGGGAATAACTGTCTACATAAAGGTTGCCATCTTCTTCTGGGGAGAAACTTCCCTGGTTAGCATTACTTTAAGGATTCCAGTGGGTGTAGTTCCAAGAGTGTAGAGGGACCCCTCTGACTTGTGAGATTGTGAACCTAAGGTTCAAGGTCCTGAAGTTTTGCTACTATGTGGATGGCAAGGGCAGTCTTTCTCTGATGTTCTCAGAAGATCCAGTCTTTGGACTCTAGATTGTGAAGGTGTTGATTGTCTTCAGTCAGTGAAGCATGAAAAGCTTTCTTTACCTGGTGAAAGTACACTGTTGCATAATGAGCTAGTGTATAACATCAGCCCTCTTGCATGGGAAAGCTTTCATAAAACCAGAAAACATGCATTGAAAATGACAGTTGAATGAAATCCCTCTATAAATGTTTAAATGGCCCATCAGGGAACAGAATGTACCTAAAGGTTTGAATGTCTTCCCAGGAATATGGGTTTGACAATAAGGTAGCAAAGTATACCTGAAGTTTTGATTGTCTTCCCGGGAATGTGAGTTTGGCAAACCAAACACTGGTCATAAACTATTTTGACAATTTAGAAATAATCACACGGATATATGTATTTAATTTGGATTACTTTACCTTTTCCATGATGAGTCATGGAATGCAGAATTTTTAATGACAAAATCTTTAAGGAATCAGGAAGGAAAAGGCAGTCATTCTGGTTCTCCATGAGTCCATGCTTAACATTGGACCTATGTCTTCCTGAATACCAGTTCTTTCTCCAATTTAGGTGCATAGCACTGATAACCGATGGGTTATGATGAGTAACTTGAGTTAGACCATGGAGTTTATTCAAAACTTATATCTAAACATTTTCAGGATTGGCTGATTTAGCATGAAAATCTGGCAAAGTTATCTCCTTGGTATTCAATTAATTTTTGTTCTGCTTGGGTTAGTTCTATAAACTGCTTTTCATTAAACATCTTTTCATTGAAGTTCTAGGAATTCTTACCCAGTCCAAAAGATATCATTCTAAAGTTATCAAAGCTTGTTTTCAAGAGTGCTTTTCAGGGTCCTTTCCATCCTTTCGTGAACCTCCTTAAAGATATCATAATCTAGGATTTTGCATGCTTGTGAAGTTTTTAGAAACTGCATCAAAATTAAGCAATTAACTGTGGAAATGACTTCACTCAGTTAAAAACAATTAACTGTGGAAATGACTTCAGTCAGTTAAAAACAAAATTGACAAAGAAATTTGATTATTTTTGTGGCCTACAATAACTTAACCATGTTATGATCAATAGCATATACTCAGACATATTAGAATTTTAGAAATCCCATACAATTTTGGAACATATAACATTCATTAAAATATAACCTGAAGAAGGTTAATCATTATTTCTTATTTGACAATGCTTCCCATGTAACTTAACATGACAGATAATCCTGTTTACCTTTTTTTGAGATGCCTCAGGGGCCTTCTGCAGCATCCCAAAGTTAGAAGTCAAATAAATACTTAATTTTGAGGCCAAAGTTTGGTTTTGGGAAGCT